CATACGAGATATTTCGTTTATGAGTTGTGCCAGCAAAACGGCTCCGCACAACTCTAGTCGGGGCACGGTCAACGATTTGAGCGGCGCCACACGAGATCTGGAACACAGCAGCTCCGCACGAGATTGGCCTTGCGTGGTCGAAATGATGTACACGCAAGCTCCATAGGCATCTATGCTGGCATCACTAAAACCATGCACTTCAATGGAAACACCAACAGAAAGTGCAAGCCTTGGAAATTTCAGCTGCTTTGTGCGCTCAAAATCTGCAATAAGATTATGCCAAGATGTTGTCAATGATGCTGAAAGGCTTTCATCCCAATCAAGCCTTTCTCTCCAAAGCGCCTGCAGGAATATCTTAGCCTTTGCGATTACTGGTCCAATAAGGCCAAGCGGATCATAAAATCTGGCAATAGTTGACAAAACAGTGCGCTTGCAAATTCGACCAGATGTCAATGCTGGCAGAAACGTGAAAATGAATAAATCCGTCGCAGGATCCCACGACAGTCCTAGAGTTTTTGTTATGTCGCTGCCATCATCAAACTTAACTAGAGTTTCTTTGTCTTCTTCCGGAACTTGTTTGAGCACATCAGGATTGCTGGAGCACCACTTCCTTAGCTTGAAATTAGCCTTGGCAAGTAGCCCTGTGGTTTGTCTCATAATTTCTATGACTTCGTTTGTAGAAGCACCACCAGTGATTAAATCATCAACATAAAAATCGCGGCGCAAGATATCGGAGCCAATAGGAAATAGCTCATGCTCATCTTCAGCCAGCTGATGCATAGTGCGAACGGAGAGAAACGAGGCAGGCTTTGTACCGTAAGTGACGGTATCAAGACGGAAAACTTGAATAGGCTTTTGAGGCGAGTCACGCCATAGAATGCATTGAAAATAGCTATCCGGATTTGATACTCGCACGCAGCGGTACATCTTGCAGATGTCTCCTGTTAAAGCGATAGGAAACGTGCGAAATCGAAGAAGCGTGTTTGCGAGCTTTGACTGAATGGAAGGACCAGCCATTAGGATGTCATTTAAAGAATGACCAGAGGATGTGGATGCGGAACCGTCAAACACGACTCTCAACTTTGTCGTTGTGCTGTCCTCCTTCAGAACGCAATGGTGCGGCAGGAAATACTTGCACAAATTTAGCGAAACTGGCGATACAAGCGACATATGACCCAACTCTAAATACTCCTTAATGAATGCAGAGTACTGTGCTTTGAGAAGTGGATTGCGTTCTAACTTTCGCTCCAAGTTTATGAACCGACGATAGGCTTGCGTATAGGAATCGCCAAGCAGATCTGTGCTGAGCTTTACAGGCAATCGGACGGAATACTCGCCAGTACGCAGGCGCCTGTAATTAGCCTTGAAATGCTCCTCGCAGTCGAACTCTTCTTTGGTGAGTTTTACAGCCGGATCGACACCACTTTCGAGTTCCCAAAAAGAGCGAACCATCTGCTCGATTCGTGTATTGCAATCCTGTGTAGACGGAGACTTGGATGCAACCAAAGCAGATTTCTGACGCTGCGAGCCACCTCCAGTAACTATCCAGCCCAAACGAGTCTTTTGCAGAAGTGGCAGGCCATCAGCCAGTTTAATCTGACCTACGCACAACAACTCGTAGAATACATTGGCACCGATAAGCATATCAATTTGCTGTGGCTTGAAGAACGCCGGATCAGCTAAGCGGACATTGCTTGGTATATCCCAATGAGATATGTCAACCGTGAAATTTGGTTGGTTCTCAGTAATGGAAGGAGCGACCAAAGCAGTAATATTTGCGGAATAGTCAGTGACCAATGATTGCAAGCATAAGTGCACAGTGCAACCATCAGACTTGAAACTGACGTCACCAAGACCAGACACAGAGGCCGACGACTTGGTCTTTCGAAGTTGGAGCCGGTGAGCGAATCGCGAAGTTATTATGTGCAACTGTGATCCGGAATCGAGCAGTGCACGGCAGGGTACCCAAGTCCCGGCGCGATTTTGAATGCTGATGACAGCGGTGGCCAAGAGCACAACATCTGAGCCGAGATTTTGGGCAGGCAATGAAGCAAGCGATGATGGCGAAACAGCTGCGAGAGCGCTACGTGGCAGTAACAATGAAGACGGCCGCGAGTGTAAGTCAGAAGCGGACGATTGCTCAGGCATCAAATTTACGGCAGCTGAATTATTAAAATGCAATAAACTGTGATGTTTGGCACCACAGGTTCTGCACGATCCAGAATTGCAAGTTCTCATTCTGTGTCCCTTTCTAAGACAATTTATACACAGAGAGAGGCGTTTCGCTTCCTTTAAACGAAGTACAGGCGACAAATTACCAAAAAGTGGGCAACTGTATATTTCGTGTGCATTTATGTCACAAAACAGACAACCATTTGCGGATGGGTTAGTGGCGACAAACGAGCGTTTGGTGTTAGTGTTTTTGTTCTTTCCCACCTGATAATTCGACGAATATGATGCCATTGCATGCTCGATGTTTTCCAATTTTTGGCACCTGCTATCCAAGAACGTCGCAAATTGCTCCCACGACGGTATAACGTTTAATGGGGCGGCTTCCTCCCACTTTGCCTGCGTCGCAGCATCCACCTTGCCCAAAATTGTCTGAACGACGATGCTGCCAGCTACATCTTGCATATTGCCCAAACTCAACAGTGCACGCATATTTGCGTTGACTTTGTCGGACAACTCTCGCAGCTTGCTTGTAGTTTCAGCCTTTTTAATGCCCAAAATCTCGGAGATGTGTGCCTGGAAAATAAGACGCTTATTGTTAAACCGCTTGTCGAGTAGGTCTAACGCCACTGAATAATTTGCACCACTTATCTCAAGCGCACGAATCGTGCCCAACGCAGATCCTCTTAAGCTTGACCTCAAATGCTGCAACTTTTCCACATCGGAGAGATCTGGATCCTTGGCGATCACTGATGTGAACATCGAAGCGAAATCTGCATATTCAGTATATCCACCACTGAATGTAGGCAACTTAAGCTCAGGCAAACGAGACCGAGTTATCACAATGGTAGACTGATCATCTTGCCGAAGCGTCGAACACGGCGGCGCGCCAGATTGCATCCTTTGTATTGCATTTAGCAGGCGGCCCTCCAAGCAGACCACCAGCTCAGCAAAGTTGCAGCGCAAACTGCTGCCAATCTCGTCAAAGTCCAGCTCCTCTAATTTGTCATGCACCAAATTAAAAGAGGCCTGAATACTTTGCAGCATTTCCACACGTTTTCGCAGCTCACTTTCTGAAATATTGTCAATTTCACAATCATTTATTTTATTTTGAATAGAAAGCGCCCACGCATATAATGATTGCGCCTTGCGCTTATAAAACTCAACACTATTGCTCGTAGCTTGCACTGCATTGCCCACAGCTGTTGACGTCGAAGCTGTTGGCGCAAGCGTCGCTGCATCAGCTACGTCAGCAGCAGCTGATGCGACAGCTTGGAAGGCGCGCATTTGACCGTCGCTCTCAGACATTGTGAACGCGAGAGAGAACCGAAAACCGAAAATAGCAGAGATAAATGACGCGCGCGAATAACTGTTTTATCTGCTGATGTTCGTTGCCCTCAAAAACGTCGCTTCACACGGCTGCTTATTGGCGGTACAGTAGGCACTATGAACTTATATTTTTGCACTTATGTACTTGAATATTTTTTGTGTACAATGAGCTCAATTATGTACGCTTTTGTTTTTTAACGCGATTAAGCAAGGTTTTGTGGAATTATTAATCACGTCGGGGTCACCAAAATGTATAATCATAAGCTTTTTTATGATTCCAAATATGCGAAATTATGTTGGCGAAATAATTGCAAAATAAGCGAAACGAAATTGTTCAATTTAAAAGATGTGCACAAATGTTTATTTTGCATAGGTAGCGATCGCCGAGATTTACAAAGTTTATGCTGGTAGACGGAAAGCTAAGCTTCTCCGTACCAGATGCGATAACGAAAAACGAACTTGACTTGCAGAGTTAGCGACAATAACTAGTACATATGTGGCGGCTGCGCAGCAGCCTATGCAAATTTATGGCAACAAAAGGAAACGTTAAGTGCTCGGCTTGCTATGCAAAGCAAGCGACAAGAAAACGAGCACTTTGCATTGAGTTATTTACGTTACTTATTAACTATGATGTGCTGCTGGTTTTGGCTGTTTTTGGCCGGATGACCAAACAATATGTATATATAGTTAAGACCACGCATTTGTCAACAAATAACTATAAAGTTGAAAATCAATATTAATATATGAACATACGTAATTTAATTTAATTATGATGATGATTTTAATTTGTGCTCCTATTTCTTTATCAATTAAAATCAGTTTAATTTTGCCGCTCCTTGACAATTTCTACTGTATAGTTGTATATACTATACTATATATAAAGTATATATAGTTGATTCTGCTCAAGTGCCGTCAGATCAACTTAATCAAGGCCGAAAATCTCTATCCCATGTGCGAGTATGTACGAGTGTGTGTGAAAATATTGGATTATGCTCTTGGAAACATGAACAACAACAGAAACAAGTGCTATATGAATTGAAATTGGGAAGCAACACGCAGTCTATCAGCTAAATACTATAATAAATTATAACATATTCATAAACTCGTTCATATGATCCACTCTTTGCGCAGAGAAATATTTCATGCTGCATTTAATTAAATTAAAATTGTGCGCCATTAATCAGCAGAGTTCGGGTTGCGGCTCCCATTTTATTTACAACGCGGTGACATCACGAATCCGCCCTGTTGACTGTTTCCTCAGCCCAGCCAGATGGTAGATGGTTGGAACATGCCATCACATCTATAGACTGGACAGCTACAGAATTTTGCCACATTTCTGACACTTTTCACTTTTCATTTCGTTAGCATGTTTCAAAATAAGAAATACACAAATAGTGTATTGCAAAATGGATGCCTCGTTAAAATGTTCTCATACTTATATACATAAAATACTGTATAGTCGGATGTCTGGGGCTGAATCATTCAAGATCACGTATACGCACCATTTACATTCAAAATCCTTGGATAGCAGTCTTTGCGCAAACTTTTCGACCAAGTTCTGGCATGTCATGTAATTGACATGAGAAATATTGTTTTTTTCGCTGCTCCGCTACTTAATTACAAACATACATTCAACTGTTTATTTACTCTTTGTTGCTCGTTTGTTTGTGTGTTTGTTTGTTTGTTTTAGACTGTTTCTTGCAGTGTATATTTTCGCCTTTTGATTTTGCTTTTGCAATGACGTCAATATGTTAATTATAGTATATCTGCGCGCGTACAGTTTTACTCAAAAATTGTTCGGTATGTGGAGCAGAATTCTTTGCGTTTATTTAATTTAAAAGAGTTCGTTAAATTGCTTTCTTTTTATTATGTTTTATGCTTCAACTAGTATTCTTTACACACAATTCGATTACACTTAAATATTTCAAGTAAAGTTATTGTTGCAGTTCGTCGAAGAAGTGGTTAAGTGGTTGTATATTTTTTAATTAATAATAATTGCAATAAACTATAGTAAATTAACTAATTCGAATTAAAAATTTCGTTTGCTTAGCGGCAGCGGAGATCTTTCGTTTCGGTCGGACACCGATTGACTAACTTGGCGGCATAAGCTTTTTAGGGCTTTTCGAATCTTCACATCGTTTTGTTTAATTAAGGAAAGCTTTGGCATTTATTGAATGCACTACTATTCTTTGGGGTTGTTGTCAATGGGAATGCGAATGGAAAGGGGAATGGAATGGGGTGGGGGGCTGCTAAAGCTTTGGCCGCCGCTGTGCGTGTTGGCCGGCGTGCATTCCGGTTCTTAAACCGGAAGATGTAATTGATTGAAGGCGAATGGATATTTGTTTTGAATATTCATGCATGAAAGCTTGTCATGTATTTATAACCCAAATTAGTATGCGGGGTATTCTTAACACGCTGCAGCTGGGAATTTGACAATTGGCTTAATGGCAAGATGAATGAATCCTTCAAATAGGTCAACGGCTTGGCGGCAGCTGTCGTCGATCATAAACACATTATTTTGGCACCAATAAGCTGTCGTCGATCATAAACGCATTATTTCGGCCCCAATAAGTTGAGAGCAGCTCTCCATTCTTGCTGTTATTCTGCGAAGAATTGTAAAACTCCAACAAATTCACACTTACTTCTTTAGAGAGACTTCTTATGTGTACAGTTTCGTAATCACTTTGGCTTGCAGTTTGCAAAATTGTTTTCCAATACACACAACTTCGCATAAATGACACTTTTATCGTGGAGATCACAAATGTATTTTGTAAGCAACTAAATTTCCAGTTCTAAGTTACAGAATTAGATTTAGATGTGCTCTTTAGAAACCATAATTTAATATTAATTTGGCCTTTATTGGCTTAATTTGTTTTTTTCTTCTTTTTGTTTAATTGCTCAAGCGTACAACTCACTCAAGTTGAGCGGTCGGAGCAAACTAAAAACGCACAAATATATTTTTGAATTGGAATGGGCGGCATGCGTGTGCAACCAACCAGTGGAAGATCGCCAAATTTATATAAATAGATGGGAGCACACATCTATATTTGAAGTTTCTAAAACCAAGTGACAAACGCAGATCTCCTTACAACACTGTTTTAGGCGCGCAGGCCACCACCAATCAAAATTGGTGATTAAACTGCCTAATTTGTTAACTTTGTTAAAGATATCCCCAAGTTTTGACGTTCATTGCATTGTAACGGAGTTCTTAAAGTCATACGCGTGCTCATAGGTCTCTAATGACGTCACGTGCGACATCATGTGTTTCGGTATTTCAAACAGTTAGCAGCACTGCTTGCTCGCCTCAAGTATCGAGTCGTTTAGCTTGCTTCCATCCCTAGCGATTACTCATTGCGGAAAACGTGAAAGAAATTCTCATATTCTCGCCGCCTGTCTGCTACTAAATTGTTTGTTTTAAGCAACATTAACGTGTAACGGCGAATATCATCAATTAAATATGGTTAGTTATTGTGCAAATATATATCCAACGTAAGGGTTAAGCCCGCAATCAAATAAAATATCCAAAATTAACGAAAGCATTTTAAACGTGTTTCTCCCCATGTGTGCCAAATTTTAAGTATTTGCTATGAATTTATATTAATTACGGCATATTTAAATGCAATTTGCTTGTCTAGTGCAATGGTCGGTTGCATTTGCCGCTTTGCTAATTTTTCTCTCACACATACACACACACATTTGTAAACATAACCTTCAAAGAAGCTTCTCGGCCAATTGCCGCTGCAGTCACACAAAGCATATCTGACTAATAATCACAATTTATATATTATGTCTGCAGCAACCACAAATTGTGCTGCTCAAGGAAGGCACCGACACGTCGCAGGGTAAGCCGCAACTGGTGTCCAACATAAATGCCTGCCAATCGATTGTGGACGCTGTGCGGACAACTCTGGGACCGCGCGGCATGGACAAGCTAATTGTTGATGCACATGGCAAAGCGACCATTTCTAATGACGGTGCCACAATAATGAAGCTGCTGGACATTGTGCATCCCGCTGCCAAGACATTGGTGGACATTGCCAAGTCACAAGATGCCGAGGTGAGAATTGAAAATTCAATTTACATATATTCTTGCACGTGACTTATAATTTTGTTACTATAGGTGGGTGATGGCACCACTTCCGTTGTGCTGCTGGCCGGCGAGTTCCTTAAACAGGTGAAGCCCTTCGTGGAGGATGGCGTGCATCCGCGTATTGTTATCAAAGCCATACGCAAGGCCCTGCAACTGTGCATGGACAAAATAAACGAGATGGCCGTTCACATTGAAAAACAATCGAAAACAGAGCAGCGTGCCTTGCTGGAGAAATGCGCGGCTACGGCAATGTCGTCTAAACTGATCCATCAGCAGAAGGATTTCTTTGCCAAAATGGTGGTAGATGCTGTGCTCTCGCTGGATGAGCTCCTGCCGCTGAATATGATTGGCATTAAGAAAGTAACGGGCGGTTCTTTGGAAGAGTCGCAGCTTGTATCAGGCGTTGCATTTAAGAAGACATTCTCCTATGCTGGCTTCGAGATGGCACCCAAAGGCTATGAGAATTGCAAAATAGCATTGCTTAACATTGAGCTGGAGCTGAAGGCTGAGCGCGACAATGCCGAGATCCGCGTGGATAACGTAAAGGAGTATCAGAAGGTGGTGGATGCCGAATGGCAAATACTCTACAACAAATTGGCAAAAATACATGAATCAGGCGCCAATGTTGTGCTCTCTAAGCTGCCCATTGGAGATGTGGCCACACAGTATTTCGCAGATCGCAACATATTCTGCGCCGGCCGTGTACCCGAGGAGGATCTCAAGCGCACAATGAAGGCTTGTGGTGGCGCTGTGATGACGACAGCCAACGATATAAGTCCCAATGTGCTCGGACTGTGTGAGCGTTTCGCTGAACGCCAAGTGGGCGGCGAACGTTTCAATCTCTTCCAAGGTGAATATTTCATTATCGGAGCAGTATAGTTTGCTTAACTAATGACTGATTTTATTATTTGGAAGGTTGTCCCAATGCCAAGACCAGCACATTGATCCTACGCGGTGGTGCTGAGCAGTTCTTGGAGGAGACAGAGCGTTCCCTGCACGATGCCATCATGATTGTGCGCCGAACAATCAAACACGATTCAGTCGTTGCCGGTACGTTTGCAATTTACAATACGATATAGAGTGTATAACTGATTGATTTCTTTTGGCAGGCGGTGGCGCCATTGAAATGGAACTTTCCAAAGTGCTGCGCGACTATTCGCGCACCATTGCCGGTAAGGAGCAGCTGTTGATTGCCGCCATTGCCAAGGGCCTGGAAATCATTCCTCGTCAACTGTGCGACAATGCTGGCTTCGATGCGACCAACATTCTCAACAAGTTACGCCAAAAACATGCCCAAGGTAAGTTCTAAAACCTGTTATTATTAATTCTACACTCAAAAGCAACATTCCTGTTTTACCAAATTGCAAGAAAAAAATCTTGTCAAAATTAAAAGAATGGAGAATTGAGGACCAATAAGCTTTATAGACGTTATGTGTCCTAATCGGTTGCAGAAAGTAGAAACGGAAATTCAAGTATATTTTAAGACTTAAAATATTTAACAGTCCTTATAAATCTTTAACATCGACACATTTGGCACATTTTCAACGGCTTTTAAGCCTAGACGACGAATTGGAGTGACATTTTTGCAGAGCCATCAGGGCCGTAATGTAATTCCTTTTTCCAATGTACTCTCTAGCGGTTCGTTTTGCATCCTCGACTAAGACAGAGGATATTATGCGATCAATAGCTGACATATATTTAAAAAGGACCGACTGCTCACCAGCCGCCCAAGGAAACTGCTGTGGCTTCGGAACGGCATCGAGTTTCGAGAACTTAGCTTTCGTTTGGGCTTTCTTCATCTCGTGCTTGAGCGCGTGCTGTGCCATGCCGGGAACGCTGATTCCCATTTCATTGGCAACTATATCTGTCAGCAGGCGCACCATTAGCTGTTCGGTGTTGGGCTTTGGTGTCAGATGCGGATTAACATAATGCATAACAAATTCAGCGGTGCGCTCATAGTCCATGGGCAGGCCAGTGGTGCGATCAAGACGAAACATTTTTGGAAGCTCCTTCTTGGGCTTGGGCCGGGCAATCGTTTTGCGCCAGACGCGTTGCTCTGTCGGCTCCTTTTTGCGTTTATGGGGCTGATGAAAGCGTTTCTTCAGATATAACTGGGTCTGCGCGCATTTCTGCAGACCAATCAGCTTCTTTTTTAAACTCTTAGGCTGTTTCTTTGAAGGACATTTGTGTTGTACAGGTCGTTTAATTTGTTTTTTTGTTGTGGCTACGCTGCACTTCTTGTTGGCCATTTATTTTAAGATAAAAACTAACAATTTTGATACTTATATCCAATGGAATGAAAATGAACTCTGAAGGCATTTGGCGTTTAAGGCGAAGTTGCTCGAGCAAGCTAAAAATTTAACAAATTTCTAGATAAATTATTAACTTCTTACCTTTCTGTTGATTTTCAGGTGGCAAGTGGTATGGCGTTGACATCACAAAGGAGGACATTGCCGACAACTACGAGCAGTGCGTGTGGGAGCCTTCAATCATCAAGATTAATGCCTTGAGTGCCGCTGCAGAAGCCGCTTGCATGATTCTGTCCGTCGATGAGACAATAAGGAGCCCCAAGGCCGGTGAAGCTCCCATGGCGGGCGCCCCCATGGGTCGGGGCATGGGCAGGCCCATGTAAAAAAAAAAAAAAACAGAAAAATTATGAGCATTAGCAACAATAACATAATAAGCTCATTCGCACCTAATAACTCGATTCAAAATCATTCATTTGCATTAAACTCTTAATTTGTATTTAACACCTCTACTATACTATATGTATTACCGATCATACGTCACAGGCTATTTGTTGCACTATTGAACAATTTATAAACTGATCTATGTCTAATAAAAATGGAACGCATATTTTCATAACATAACCGAAGTATTGTTCATGGGCAGTATAGTCTGAAAGACTTATTTCGCTATAAACAGACTTAACCTTTTGAGAAACTCCACAAATTGTTAACTTTTGCTAAGAAGGAAGACTTTGAATTATTAATAATGTTTTTGAATAAATTAAATGAAATTGGGGTTTTAGAAAAGTTACATTCCAGACTATTCCTATAAAATGGACCTTTGAAAATATTGCTTTGATTTCAAAATTAATAAAGTCTAGCTCTCTATACGCCAAATAAAGTTAATTTACAAATAATAATTAACATTTAATTTGCAAATATATGTCAGCTTGTCAGATAATGCAACATAAATGTGATTGTTGCTTTTAACTCTTTAAAGTGAAAATTGCATCTTACCTTTAATTAAAGGCGTTTTTCAAATTTGAACGTCTGTTAAAGCCGTTTGGTAATATTTTGTGCATTCCCATGGCGCACATCTGGCAACTCTCGCGCGCGACTGGACTGCGCTTTGCTAGCGTTTTTGCTCATCACTCAGTGTTGTTTTCGCGCGTCTTTTATGCACACGAACGCAGGCCCGCACACACACATTGCCGCCACACGGTGTCTCTGTCTCTCCCATCCAAGTTAATTTTTGTTGTGAGACATGGGAAACCATAAAGTATTGAAAGGCATGCGCTACTCCATGTACGAGTTCATAGATGCAGTGAAGGTACATCCAATAATCTGGAACCGGGAGCACGAGGATTTCCACAATCGCGAGCTGCGGGATCAGGCATGGCAAAAAATTGGACAGAAGTTGTGTAAAAATTTCGATGCAGCAACTGCGGCGGAAAAGCTGGAAATCGGTAAGCAACGCGAACAGTACATACTTACAAATAAATACATGCATATGTATGTACATATACATATATGTACATATGTGTGTGTAGGTGTTAATGAAAGCAAACACTCTATTTTGTTTACGTTCTCCGGCAGCCAAAACATTACTCAAGCGTTGGAAGAACACACGCGACAGCTTTTTGCGCGTCAATCGATTGCGTCAGAGCGGCGAGGAGACCGGTAGAGCTTCGTATATATACGAAAAGGAGCTCAGTTTCTTGCTGGACGCCAAACAGGACTCGATAAAGGAGGATCCGAAGACGCCGGCGCCAGCCAAGCGCAAGAGATTCGGCATTCTCAGATCCGAAACGAAGCGTCGCAGCTCGGGCCCTGCTCAGGAGGATGATGAGGGGGGCCTGCATGCAGTGCTCGATAGTCTACCCTACACAGAGGATGCCTCTACGCTGCCCGAAGGGGCTCAGGGAACTAGCGCTCACAACATTTCGGCTTTGGCTAAGAACGAAACCTCCACGTTTTCGATGGACTTCACACACTCATCAGTCAACAGTTCCAGCACAATTAATGCTCAGACCCCTTTGGTCACCAGCGATCCCGATCAGGCCTTTTTCGAGAGCATTAAGCCGCACATGCAGAACATGACCTCCGACCAGAAGCTAGAGTTTCAGATTGAAGTATTGAAAATACTGCGTAATTTTAAGCCAAAGCCAAACTGATCTACAATTACGAGTAAGCCTAAGCTAGAGCAATGGAAGGTGCAATATATGTACATGTATATATTTACTTATGTTGTTGAGTAATTTGAGGACCATAGCTTTAATGCACAATTATACAGTTTAAAGAGAGATTAAATGAAATTCCAGTCATTTGCAGCTATTCGAGCAATAACAATTTCTTACTCTAATCGCGCGAACTTAAAAAGGACTCTACATGCAATACGCAAAAGGTGGCAGCACTGTTGGCTGGTATGTTTTGTGTTTCAAGTATTGGTATTTGGTATTTTTTTAGTGGAACATTTCTCAGAAATACGTTTTTTTTATTTTTAAATTAACTGAAGAAGTAGCAGCTATTTTTTACAACTTTAGACATAATTTGTTTTCGACAAGAGTATGTTGAAGAAGTTAATTTGATTTTTGACGATGCAGCGCCATCGAAAGATAATGTGACATATTATGAGATATCGACATCCGTAGGCACATGATCATTTGGCCATCATCTGAACGGCACACAGCCCTTTGTATGCCAGAAGTTTCCGGATAATTAAGGAAAACTAACGTCAACACATCAAACACCCTTATCAAGCGATTGCGAGCTCTCACATAGAAGACTTTTTGAGCACCGGAATCGAATTAATGGTCAAACCTCCTTACAACCCTGACTGAGCACCCAATGACCTGTTTTTGTTTTCATATTTCAAACAATAAGTCCGAGTAGAAGCCGTTGGATCTGTGTTTTTGCTATCTATTCTCTAAACATAAACGAAAGCCCCCCGATTGCAAAAAGAATGCATTCAAAGACGAAAAGAAAGAACTTATCAATGGCCTAGAAACTTTGAGTTTTCTACAACTATATATATGTGTCAATAAAACATTGATGGCTCCATATTCATGAGGCATTAATACGTTTATTAAATATGATGCGCAGTTTATAAACTAAAGTGGTTCGACCAGTTTTAGTTTTCAAAAAGTGCTTAAACCTGTATTTGTATTTACTGCAATGGCTGGCAAGTTTTCCCTTTATATACCGATCTTGAGTGTATGTGTGTGTGTTGCAAAAATCAGGCGTCTCTGTTAGTGCCCCTAAATAAAAAAATTGTGTTAGCCATTTCCTAGCCCTGAGAGCCCTCTAAATACCTTTTACATCCCAACGCTTGTTGTTCGAGTACTCAAGATGTAGCCTGAAGATATTTACTTGTATGTATGTATAATTTCAATAAAATAATGAATATATGACGAATTATAGCTAGAAAGGCTATCTGCTCGAGAGTTAACCTGAAGATTTGTACAACTGTAGACTGGAGACTTAACCTGAAGATATGTGTATATGACTGTTGGGCAACCCAATTATGAATATATATTTCGATGTTTATAAAACATTTGACATAACACACGCGTCAAAACCAAAGTATGAGTTCAACTTTAAAGCTTAAGGAATACTGGTTGATAGGCAGTTTGCCAGGAATAAGGGAAGGAGTATCGCCTATAGCAGCTCTGGGCATAACAGCCAACTTGCTCAAGCGGGTCACTAATTTTTAACGGTTACAGACAATTATGATATACTAGTATACCCGTGTTGGAGAGGAAAGGGCAGTATGTCCTTGTAGGAGAGCATTTCGACTACGTCTTCTGATAAAATTGTTACCCCAACATCTAAGCAACAACTAAGACTTCTTCTTAGCATGTCTTTACAGTTTAAACTGAATGCATCAACAAACGTTTACTGATGAAAAAAAAAAACATAAACTAAAGAAAATTAAATTAAAAGCTAGTACCCAGGATGTGCGAATCGGAAGCAGCTCTGATAACAAGAGGTGTTGTAGCGTAATATCTTGCCATTTATCAATGACAAGAGGAAACGGAAACGACACGAATTCTTCCAATTCGCCAGGGGAGAAGATGCTTAGAAGAATGCAGAAGTTTTTTTTGCAATAATCGTTTCTATGGCAGCTACTTGTATATATACTTGTAGTTTTAAAAAAAACTTGACCTAAGTGTGGCTAAGACGAGTCCACAACCAAGTTTGGTGTCCGTAGCTCTTATGGCTCAAAAGTTGTGCTATATCGATTAATTTCCTATAACATGGGGATCTTCTGTCTGCCAAATGTGCGATTATATTATTATTGTAGAAAAGGGTATCTATTGTGTATAGTTTAATGGAAACACAAGTGCTTTAGAGGAGAAAAAAACTCAATCAGCCCTCATACAAGTATGTCGGCGACACACACACAACACACATGCGAGTACACACTGTAGTGTGTCTGTATTTACTCCCTTAAGTATATACGAAGCAGCCGTTATTATAATTCCCTTTTGTGGTGGTTTCAGTTTCTGGAATTTTTAGGACCCTTGTCGAGCACATTAGCGACTGCAACGGCAGCGGCAACGGCTGTGGCAGCTGCTTTCGGCTTCGGCACTTCACACGCGGCTGCCTACCTGCATAATAGCATTTGGGTTCTCGGATGCCGCTCTTGGTATGGGTGTAACGTATTTTACGCAGAGGGAGATTTAGGTCACAATGAAGGTCCCCTGCCCCCTGCCCTGCTCGTGCGATCTGAGCCATACCTGTAGCGATAGCGAGTGCTGGCAGTGGATTCGAGACTTCGATGAATAGACAGGAAGTGCTTTGAGGGGTTGTTGTTTCGTTTAATTGTTCGATTTTCTACAGAATATTGAGCGTAAATCTAAATTCAAACATTATGTTTCCGACATAATGGTCTTTGTACTCATATATCTAGCCCAAATGGCTTCGGCCTGCAACAAATAGCTCGAAATTTCCTCCTGCAGACTCAATAGTTCATATTTCTCGAGAGCCAATTTCAGGATCACATATTCCAGAGACCGCACACCGCCTGCTGCGCTGGGGGCACCCAGTCTGTTAACCAACACTACAAAGTTGCGCAATGGCTCCAGATACTCTCCGAAATTTCCAGTCTCAATCGCCGCATCCACTTTATTGATATAGTGCAGAGTTTGCTTCAACTTGGCCGCCAAATCGTCGCTACGCCCCACCAGCGGCGACAGCTCTGTATTCAGCTTTTGCATCGCCGCCTTCGTCCTTCGCAGCTTCTCCAGAGCGGCTTCGGTGTCTTGGCGCTCCTCCGTCCAGGCCGGCACGGCTCCCACCGTCGTCTGTTCGCTGTCCTCCACAGATAGTTTATTATTGTCCACAGCAATTGTTTTATTTATCAGCGAATCCTCGCCATCCTTCACATGGAAGTTCAGCGAGAAGTGAAACAAAACGTTCGCCTCCGCCAGCTGTCAAAAATTAGAAATCGAACTTAAGAAACATTTTAGTGCTCCCTGAAAACATTCCCCTACATGCCTGTGCCGCCGTGAAGATGCAGAGCACGAGCCAAGCTGGATGGAAGAACATCTTGAACGAATGCCAGATAGCACCGGACTGAGCGGCTTTCAATGAATGGAAAATCAGATCACACCACTACTATATCATTTGTCGCTTATCTCTACGATTATAGTAGGTCGGGTCACTCGAATGGGCTGATAACTGCGAATATTGTCCACTGGTTGAGGGCCGCTCTTCACAGATTACAATTTGTTGCTAGCCCAAAGGGTGACTAACTACATAGCACTACTAACTATATACTTGTACAAGTATACCTATATAGCGCTGAGGAAGGCATTATTTGAAATCAAATCATTTGGTTGAATCATTTCATTGCTGATCCATAAACCGAATCATTTTGTAATTATTCACAAAAACACAAATTCATCATGCAGGGAAGGGCTTCAGAAATACATACAAGTAAATGTATTTAATTTTTAAAAAATGCACTTAATTTGTTGGTGCCAAGGGGGGGTTCTCGAATTTTATACAAAATTTTCATTAATTTGATTCAATAACAACTCTACTATACATACTAATATGCACTTGTATAAAATGTAAATAATAAACTAGACATTTAGGCGCAAATATTTTAATATTTAAATTAGCAACTGGGCCATATTTATATCCGTGTTTATATTTTTTGGCATTCATGTCTCTGAACGTTTTCCAAAGTCTTTTAGAAGCGCCAAATGCCAACAGTCATTGTTTGTATTTATTTTTGAACGCTGAGACATTGAAACGCAGATGCTAAATATTGTTTTTATAAAAATAAATAAATAAATGAACAATTTAGTTTGTTTGTTTGCCGACAAAAAATATTCACAAAGAGTCACTTAAATGCAGGTGTTTTATGAGATATTGTATACGAGTATATCGCATGTACATATATAAATAAATTTTCGTGTACATATGTACTTCAAAGTGCTTTGAAGTTTTATGGTTTGTTGTCTGAGAAACCCAAAGCAATTTGAATTTGAAGCCAGACCAGTACTAGTTGGAAACTTAACGAAGCGCACATTACCAGGTCTAATAGGTTTCCTGTCATAAATCAAACAAATTAGCGAAAGTTTACACTCAAGTGGGGAAGCCATTCAAAAACAACAACTGATATGATAAGTTCCCTTTTTTAGTAGACATGCGTTCGACTAACAACAAATGTCGGCGTTTAGAGCTAACTACAAGTATAAATAATTGTTAGTTAGAAGAAGTGATGTATGGGAACAAACACTATATATACAAGTATTTATAAGTAGTATTACTATTGCATGTTTATGAGTAAATTGTCTCAGTGAATCACGGCTCAATTGAATGAACGAGGTTTTCTAAAGCTGTGGTCAGACTTGAAATTAATTTGCACACAAATTTCGTGCTGTTTACACAAAAAGGAAAGTCCTAAAAACTGATCTTTGTTGACTTTTGTCCATCAGGCTTTTGGCCAGAGAGCTTTAGACTCACAGAGCCCACAGTTCCAACATTGCTTAAATAGGTTAACTACTATTAAGGTACATAATCATAATATTAAGTCTAACCAGTAATTAGAACAAGCCAGGTCGGTGGCAGGGCATGTCAGACTGGTTAATAGATCATCTTAATAAAGTGCTTAGTATAAGATGACTTTAGATAACAAAGAATCCCATCAGTTAAGTGTTTGGTATGGGACCTTAGAGAATATTTTGTGTATAGAAATATTAATCTTATTTAAATTATCTTAAATGCACATTCATTTATTTAATCATTTTTCAATAAACCTATAGGCACTGTATGTACATATATACCGATATATACTCTACACTATATACTTGTATATAGTATAGCACGATGTTTGCTTTGATTAGACTGTGTTTTTTGAGTGCGTGTGCCTACAAGAAATACAGAAAGATAAGGTGTGCGAGCGCTATCAATAAAAACATGCCACAAATATATACCATGTAGTAAATATGTATGTATATTGTGTGCCTGGAGTGTGTATCAAATCAAAGGAGGAAGCAATCGAGGCCCGACTCTTGAATACCCTAAGCCCTTTGTTATGCCAATCATTTCTGAGCCAATTTTTATGTAACTTTTGATTGTGGTGAGGCTGAATATAAAGCCTATTGAGACCACATTTTCTGAGTATATCTTTATAAACCATAAATTAGTTGGTACTGCGATTGATATTTGCACCGGTCGTTCCTATGGCAGCTATATGATATAGTCAAAATCGGCTATTTTGATGAATTTTCAGATGAAATATAGTACATATAGTATACAAGCCCCATAAGTACAAAATATAACATAAGCCAGTTGTTATCTTAACTTATCATAACTATTCCTATGGCAGCTATATTAAATAATAGGGGTACATGTAGATTGTCATAAACTTGCTGTGCCAATGGATAAGACAAGTCTATATAGTAAGTTTGGTGTGCCTAGCTCTTATGGCTCAAAAGTTCTCGCAGTTCATACGGACGAACATACGGACACATCAATACCGATTCGTCTGGTCATGCTGATTATCTGTTATACCATATAATGGTTCTGTCAGGCCTCCCTCCGCTTTGTTCATACATAGATTGGAGGCTTATGCTTTCTATGATACCCTTTTAGCCTTCGGATGCAGGGTATAGAGACCATCATCGTCGACTGTCAAACGCAAACAGGCATGGAAAGGGGATCAATCGTAGAAATTGCGCAGCGAAAATATTAAAAACGTTATATATGTATATGTACATATTTATATACATATGTACGTGAGAGTGTGTGTGTGTTTGTACATATTCCACACAGCTTGGAGAAAAAAACAAAAACCGTTGACGTTGTTGACGTCGTCGTTGTTGTTTTGCATGCGAGCCTGTCTGTAATACGTGCCAGTAAACACATACACACACACACACACACAGCCATAGCCATGCTTTTGTATCTGAACGTCAGGCGAAACTTATTTTTATATTTTTGTTCAACATTTTGCGTGTGCGGAATGGCGAGGGGCGAGCGGAGACTGAGGCGGCGACGACGACGACGACTCTTGGGGAGAGACCAACGCACAAACTTGTAAAATGTGAACGACAACGCAGCCTAAATACACATACATACATACCTCAATAAAAGTATGTATGTGCGTGTGTGTGAGTGTGTGTATGTTTGTGTGTGCTTGCGTGTGTGGCACATACGAAAATATCTTTCAGATACAATTGCGTAGAAGCGTCTAACCAGGCGCGCTTATTTTTTTATACTCTTCTGCTTACGTTGCCGTTTCATTTTCAACGTCATTTTGCGCGCCCCATACGAAGCTGGGTTTATTTTTTAATTATTTAAAAATGCTATTATATTTTTGTAGATATACATATAAATCCAATTCATGCCCATGAATATTTAAACAATTCGTTTAAGGTGAGTTTTTCTTAAACTTTTGCGATACATTTGTTTCGAAATTCTTCTCTTCTTCGTCTATCTCTTCTATCTATATTATTTTATACCTTTATTGTAATGTTATATAAAACACCTTATATCGACTGCATAATTTGTTAATTTCTAAAATAAATAAATAAATATCAACCACGGATTATAGAAATAAATCGTTAATTGTTAATTTTTAAAATAAATAAATAAATATCAACCACGGATTACAGAAATAATTCGCTGTTGAAATTAACCACTAAGCATTTAATTTTTTATTTATTTATTTATGTCAACAAACATTGACTTTCGACATAGGAGGAAAATATATAAAAACAAGAGAGAACGCTACAGTCGAGCAAGCCCGACAGTGTAATACCCTGTACCCAGGTAAACTTCCGTCACTGAGTTATATGCGCCCATAGCAGCAGCAAAAAGAGGAAGAAGAAGAGCGAACTCGTTGCTGCAGTTTGTGGGGGTTGTACTGTAGAGAATTTGTTTCGCTAATAACTTTTCACAAAATTGACCGAATTCGATTAAATTTTAAACAACAGTAGACAATTATATATAAATTATGTGTGCAAAGTTTGGTTGAGGTAGCATTTGAAATGTGGACGCTATTGACGAAATTCTGTAGCGGGGGAAGGGGGGGGAAAATTAAAAAAAAAAAAATAAACTCGTCCTTACTCGGACCTAGGAGAATCTGGATGCCAACTTTGGTTATTCTAGCTTTTATAGTTTCTGAGATCCTCGCGTTCATCCAGACGGACAGACGGACAGACGGACGGACAGACGGACGGACATGTCTAGATCGATTTCTCTCGTCATGCTGATTCAGAATATATATACTTTATGGGGTCGGAGATGCTTCCTTCTGTATGTTACATACTTTGCACAAACCTAATATACCCTTTTTACCCTACGGGTACAGGGTATAATAATTATAGAAAGCATCTTATAAGCTAGAAAAGCCTAAGAAGGAGAAATCTTATCAAATTACAATAATATCTAGGTTAAGAACGGTTCTCGACTCATGTAGAATCAAATAATAATTGGAATTGGAATTTTAAAAATAAAAATTACGAAACTTGTCGTTCGCCCTTTGAAATAATGAAAATAAAATAAAAGGGAATCAGCGATTCGAAGTAACGAAATAAGCACGATGTTCATGTGGTTGCTGTAGTTGTTGTTTTCTTGTTTTTAGTTTTTAGCTGAAATCAACATGGCTCGTCGTCTAGTTCGTTTAGTTTCACTAGACAAGTACTGTGTGGGGGGTGTGTGTGTGGATGGGGCGAACGGACAGACGAACAGACGGATAGACTCGGCGTGTTCAGCTAAAAGACAGAGACGGAGAGATAGGCGGCAGCGAAGCAAACATTCGCAAGTTGGCCGACGCTCGACCGACCGCTTTGTTGACTGCAATTATCGCAAGCACAGCGCCATAAAAGAAGAAAAGCAGCAACAGAAACAGCAACAACAACAACAAGAACAACAATTTTGTTTACGCGTTCGCAGCAAAACCGACAAACACACACACACACGCACACATCTATAAATGCTTATATGTACACTTCTCTCTGCAAGTATATAGTATATTTGCAGGAGTGTGGTGGCTCGAACCATTCGCGAGGGGAGGGCGAGGAGGGGACTTGGGTCAGCATAAAAGCAAGCCA